CATGCTCTCTGAGAAGAAAATGCATTAGGACACACAAAACTTGCTTTTCTTGGTATGGTGATTGCTGATGGCAAGTATGATCTTCAGCCTCATATTGCTAATGAATTGCAAAAATTCCCAGATGTTCTCATAACCAAGAAAGAGATACAACAATTCTTGGGAATTGCCAATTACATGCGCAGTTTCATTCCCAACATTTCTTGTTTCACTACTCCACTTTTCTAGATGCTTAAGAAGAATCCTCCAGAGTGGTCTGAAAAGCAAACAAATGCAGTCAAAAGTCTCAAGCGTGCATCCTTCCATACACAGCCGTTGAAGATTCCCTCTTCAGGGAAACACATTCTTCAGAGGATGCTAGTGACACTCATTGGGGTGCAGTGCTTTTTGAACAAGATAAGGACAAGGTACGACATTTGTGCGGATACCAAAGTGGACAATTCAAACCACACCAGCAGCATTATCATTCTACTTTCAAGGAAATATTAGTAGTAAGAAATGCCATTAAAAGGTTTGAATTCCACCTTGTTGGACATCATTTCTTTGTTGAAACAGATATGAAGTCTTTTGATCAAATGCTACATTTCCACAAGAAAAAGGTTCCGCATCAGCAGTTTCTTAGCTGGGCAGAATGGTTCAGTAAATATTCCTTCACCGTCCAACATATCAAAGGTCACACCAACACCATTGCAGATTATTTATCCAGACCTAAAACTAAACAAGTTGGTTTCATGAACCCTAGATCCAAACCTCTTCCATGTTTCATGTTTCAACCATTAACCTAGTCCAGTTCCTGTTCATCATCCTCTTCACCAAACCATACTCCAGACGTACCTCCTGAATTCGATGACCTTATTCAAACACGTACCATTGATGAAAATGCTACCACCCTCATGTTTTCTTACCAACTTCAATGCATTGAAAAATGTGGTCAATCCATGTATGATATGTTAAGGGTCCATCCAGATTACCCTTTTTCAAAAATCTTTTGTTTACCTCCAGGACTTGATATCATATTTCCAGGGGAATTAGTATGGTTCTTTTGGTATATGTTACATCAATACCACATTGCTATTCAATTCCCGATCCATCATATGTTGAAAACAATTTCCCAATACCAGTCAACCTCAATTGAATTACGCTCTTTGATGACTTTTCTCCAATGGTTCAAAACCCTCGACAAATAGAAATCTGTGTTTGCTCACCAACTTGCCCTATACAAAGGTCCTATGTCTACCAAAATGGCATGGTCTATAATGTTTTTTCACAGACATCACTGTATCAGATCTGATGGCCTATATTTTTCTCAGCATCAAGTCACCTTTCATCAGTCTTATCCTTATGACCTCGTCCATAATATGTTTGATCATCCTATTGAGACTAGATCAATTCAAAAAATCCTTTTTGAAAAAAATCAGATCTTTCCAGATGCAATATGACCATCCTTTCATGATGATGTTCCGTGGGAACTCATTCCTCTAGACTACACTGAGAAATTACTCCGAGCCAACAGACATGCATACGTTCCATCAATGCTCAATTCGATGACAATTCATCTTATCTAGAATGGTGGTACCCGGACTCACAGCCAGATACTGTGCAGGAAGAATAGCTTCAGCAATCTCGTGATTACTATCTCCAAAAATCCAGGCGACAACAATACGTGAATGCACCACGTACATCTACAGCGCCAACATCTCAGATTCCAAACATTTCTTCGGATACTCATCCAGATACATCTCCCCGACAAATCCTTGCTGACTGGATTCAATCAATGGGTTGTCTCGACTTCCAGGATGAAGACTCGTGGCACGTTACCAATCTGTCAGACGATTAACGACCAGCGTGTCCTAAAATAAATAGTTGTGTCCTTTATGTAAAATAAGGGTGGACTAAATGGCAATATGCCATCTCAATGTAATATCTCCCGTATCTTTTGTAAAAAGTCAAGAATTGTAGGCTACTTAATGTAAAAAAAAAAAAAAAAAAAAAAAGGATTAGTCTTGTATTTAATGACTCATTTATGAGTGGTAGTATCCCTTCTATCTATAAATAAAGCCTTTTACCTTCTCGGGGGAGGAGGAACTTTGTTGTAAAACTTTGTAAACACTTTTGTTTATTTCTCTCACTCTTCATTTCCATATTTTCTCTACACTTCCATACTTTCTCTGCACATCTTTACTACACTTCTTCCATGTTTCTTTCATATTTCTAAGTTTCTCTCAACCTCAAGGGTGATGTAATACTCTGAAAATGTTATAGATAGCAAAAGATCCCACATATGTTTTAATTTATGTTCTTTAACATGTTTAATATTTATGTTTTCATTTATGTTCTTGCTCTTCATTTATGTACATGTTCTTCATTTATATTCATGTTCTCTATTTATGTGGTTGTTTAATATTCACTAGCCCTTTTAGATGATGTTAGAATCTGTGTGGGTTTACGTTTGTGTGGGATAAAAGGAGGGCATTGACCATCTTTTCGACCGATCATTGTGTTGATTGGTTTCGCTTAGGTCGGCTATCATAGTTTCCCACATGCATAAACTCCATGATTTTCTGACAGCATCTCTAAGGTCTAGTCAACCGTGTGGTTTCATGTTATCTCATTTTATGAATCCGAATTCACAATTGGAACCTCTGTCAAACCCTTAATCTTTGAGGACCGGAAAATAATAACTTTCACTCGTATAGAATTTGAGGAGTAAACCATGTATTTCAAAAAAATCGCGTCAAAAATAAATATTTGACAATATTATTATATGATCAAGTAAGTTTTTTTATTTTAGGAAATAACTTAAACTTTTCACATTTAAAAAAAATATATATATGTATTTCGAAAGAAGAAAAGAAATAAAGAAATCTCTCAATTACTTAAAAGCATTTTTAAAATTAGTTTATTAATTTATTTAGTTATAAATACGAAAACAAATTAATTAAGTGGAATAAGTTTCCACAACTATGGATTTGACCCCACTGCCTAACAAAGGTTTGGTTGTGAATTAAAATTCTAAAATAAGGTAAGCATATAGAACAAAAACGAAAGTGCTTTTTTGAAAAGTCGATTACAGAAACACTTCTTCTGGTCAATAAGTATTGCCCCCATATGTGGAATTTTTATTATTAAAACTTGAGGTTTATCTTCATTGATGCAATGCTTTGAAAGTAAAGAGAATATTAGAAATATTTGCATGTTCACATACAAATTAGTAAATTACCCATTAGAAATTTTTAATGACTACTCTTTGTTTGGTAAAATGGTTTTTTAGCTTCTATTATGGAGCATGGAAACAACTTTTTCATCTTCTTCTTTTTTTTTTTCCTTTTTTTTTTAATATAAATTTTAATAAAGATTTTGTTTTTTAATATATAATTTACATTTTCTTAGACGACAACCATGCATGAACCACCCCTAGGTGATTGAGTGATTGGACAAAGATTCTTGGATGTATTACTCAAAATATATTTACTTTGAGTCACCTTAATTGCTAATATGGATGATCACTGAAGAATATACCATGTTGTTAACTTAAGTCTTTCGAGGGATGAGTCAAGGTGCATGCAAACTAATTCGGACACTATCGGTCTCCCCCACTCAAAAAAAAAAAAAAAAAAAAAAAAAAAAAAAAAAAAAAAGACAACCATGCAAACTTGTAAGAATTAACAATAATTTTTAGAAATTTGGGGTTATAAGAAATTCCCACCTAAAAGCATTAAAAACCCCACTAATATGAGGTGCTTAATAGTTTTTTTTTTGTTTTTTTAAATTAGTAAACGCTTAAGACTCAACGATATTTTAGGTACGAATGAAATTGATCATTTGCTTATTTATATGCTTGTTTTTACATACTTTTATATGCTTCTTTCTACTAATTGACCTATAATCTCACTAACTAAGAGATCGTGGCCTAAAATCTGAAATGGGTATAATTTTTTATTTACCTAAAATGAGTGCAAACTTGTTTTAAGCAAACTTTAATTAGGTTTAGCATAAACATGTTATGTTTGTCAGTTGTCGGTAGGTATACATTATATTTAACAAAAGAATCTTACTAATGTTAACTTCTTGCATTAATTAATTGAAAGAATAAATTAAAGTGTTATGCCTATACTTTTCAGGTTTAACACTATTCTTCAGTTTATTGAACTTCAAAAACTCTAATATATTATACTATCCTATCTTTCAAAGTAAAAAACGTGTTTCTTTTAATATTGGCTATTCAATTATATTCTATTTAACTCAAAATATTTTACAATTACCTTTCTTAATAAAAGTTTATAAATTAACAAAAACACCCCTATCCACCCAAGCAACAGTTGCCCGATAGCAACCACTGCTAGCCGTCGTTGCCATCGCTAGTCGTTGGCTTCGAAACAACACACGATCGGTTAGATTTGGCCATTCGTGCATCGATCTATCCATTTTCAATCAAATCTACTAACGGCCAGATCCAACCGGTCGTGCCCCATTTCGGTAACTTTCAACGACTGTTTGCGCGGTGGTGGCTGACTGCCGATAATCAGTTGGGTGGGTGTGGACATTTTTGTTAATTTATAAACTTTTATTGTGTTTGGAGAGTATTTAGCTAAATTAACAAATATATGAGGTTAAAAATAATCTAAATATTTTCAAAAAGTGTTTAAAAAAAATATACCAAACTTATTCTCATAATTTAATTTTATTTGATTAATATATATCATAATATAATATTATTAAAAAAAGTGTACCAAACCGGCACTATGATACTCAGAAGATTATTATTATTAATTAATATAATCATATATCATTAATTACAATAATCTGTAATGCTTTTGTTATTATTGTTATCATTTACTATTATTATTATTATTATTATTATTTATGCATCTTCCAAGAAAAATCATACAAGACTTACTGCCACCCACAAATTAACTGGAGAAGGGGACAAAAGATGTTTACAAACAAGTTCTAATTTAATTGAACTATCCTTTTACCATCTTTCTTTTAGGAAACATCGAAAGCCCACCATAGAAAAATAAATTAATCCCTTATAATAATAATCCATATACAGTATTAAACACACAGACACACTCTCGCCATCCAACCTCTGCTCTCACTTCTCACTTCTCTCTTCTCCTCTTTCTCTGTCTCTCTTCATCTTCCTGCTTGCAAGCAACCAATAAATGGCTTCTCAGCAGAGAATTTTGCTGCTTTTTTTGGTGCTCATAGCTTCGTCTTCAAGAGCTATCACCTCAACGTGGACACAAGATGAGATAATATCTCCATCCAAGTTGGAGATGTTCGTGGATGAGCTTCCAAATCTGACTCGAATCCAAGGTTTCAATCTTATCAATGGCACCCCCAAACCAAAGCTTCTCAATATTGGCATGTTCAAGAAGAAATGTGTAAAATTTTCTTTCTCAGATTTGTTCCATATTTGTTTCTCTTTACTTGCTTTGTTGACAGCATATAAATATTAGGTGATATTATATTCAAGTTATAGTATTTTTTTTCTTTTTCCCTTTTTCTTGCTCTTTTATTCACACTATCAAGTAAGTAATTTTGTTTATGGAAGAAAAGTATACTATATATTACGTCGTCCATGTATAATGTAATATTTTGTTTCATAAATTTTAACCACAAGTACGTTTACGTGACATAATTTTATTGACACATGAACAATATGTTATGTAATTCTAACTAATAACATATTACATGAGAAATTGTATATGAAACAATCTCGTTACATCCTCGTATTGATGTTATGAGAACGTTTAATTAAAATTAGTCACCATTTATAACACTGATAATAAAAACTAATTAATATTATTACATTATTATAGTATTATTTATATTTAATTTGTTTAAGCTTTCCCTAGATCTTAATTAACTTATTGAGTGTGAACCTTCCCTCTGTCTAGGCAAATTTCGTACAAAGTTGGGAATAATCTTTTAAGTGGGTCCTTTTATACGTTCTATTATTGATAATAAGTCGTTGTTTCATTTTATGCAGAAATTCCACAGGGATCTTCCTCCAACCCCAGTGTTCGCATTCGGTACATCAAAGTTCACAGCAAGTATCCCTGGTCCAACAATCGAAGCCCTCCATGACATTGACACCTACGTGACGTGGCACAATCACCTCCCTTCAAAACACATTCTTCCATGGGACCCGACTATCCCCACTGCCATTCCCTCCACCAAGAAGGGCATCCCTACTGTGGTGCACGTCCATGGCGCTATTGGTGAACCCGCAAGTGATGGCAATGCAAACTCCTGTTTCACCGCTAGATTTGAAGAAAAGGGTCCCACCTGGTCAAAAAGGACTTATCATTATCTCAACATGCAACATCCAGGGAATTTATGGTATCATGATCATGCCTTGGGGCTGACACGTGTTAACTTATTGGCTGGCTTGATTGGCGCCTACATCATCCGTGATGATGAGGTGGAGGCCCCACTTAGACTCCCTAGTGGAGGTGAATTTGATATACCGTTGATTGTTTTTTATCGTAGCTTTCGTAAGGACGGTACAATATACATGAATTCCACAGGAAATAATCCTTCCATACATCCACAGTGGCAACCTGAATATTTTGGCGATGTAATTGTAGTAAACGGGAAGGCTTGGCCACGTCTGACAGTACGACGTCGTAAATACAGATTCCGCATAATCAATGCCAGCAATGCTAGATTCATTAGATTCTTCTTCACCAATGGTCTGCAATTTATCCACGTGGCATCTGATTCAGTATATCTCGGAGAACCTGTTGTGACCAATGAGACCCTGTTGGGCCCATCTGAGATTGCTGATGTGGTCGTTGACTTTTCAGAGTCAAAGTCCGATACTGCCATCCTTGCAAATGATGCACCGTATCCATACCCGTCGGGTGACCCAGTTAATGATATTAATGGTAAGGTGATGAAGTTTATCATAGAGAAAAAATCATGAGATTGACACGTGATGCGTAGCCAAGACCTTGATAAAATACCCATCACCTGATTTATCTAGTGCATCGCAAACACGGTACATTGCTATGTATGAGTACACAAGTGACATTGATGGGCCTACTCATCTTTACATCAATGGAAAATCATTTGAACAACCGGCAACTGAGACACCTAAAGCGGGGACTAACGAGGTGTGGAATGTGATTAATCTAACGGAGGATAATCATCCGCTGCACATTCATCTGGCATTGTTTGTGGTGTTGGATCAGACAAAGCTGGTTAACTTGGAGGAGTTCAAGACGTGCATGACAAAATTGAACAATGCGATCATGTGCCACATAAGTAAGTATGCAAGTGGCAAGAAGATAGAGGTGCCGGCACACGAGAAGGGCTGGAAGAACGTGTACAAGATCGCACCCGGAAACGTGACGAAGATACTAGTGAGATTTTCTTACATACATTCGAATGCATCGTATCCATTCAATGCAACTGCAGAGCCAGGCTATCTGTATCATTGCCACGTAAGCACTCTTTCATCTTGGTACTTTAGTCACGGGTTGCCCAAATGATTTTCCCACATCTTTTTTCTTCCCCGACTAGAATTTATTTTTAGAAAATTGGATTTATATTTATAATTTTCTATTTTTTTGTATAAATTGATTTTTTCTGATTTTATATTAACCGTTGAGATGTGCAGATATTGGATCATGAAGACAATGCGATGATTAGGCCCCTCAAGTTCATCAAATAATTAGCGTGATGTTGTAATTTGATGAAAGAGTGATATGTTTTTGTAATGCAAAATTGTAATAAGTAATGATAGGGTTTGTATTACAAGTTTCTAGTGATTAACATATGATAGTTTTTTGTATTACAAATTTCTAGTCATTGATACAGATTAAATTTCAAATCAATTAAATAGATAATGCTTCACCCAGCAAAGCACTTAAAATTTCACAATAGCTATCCTTAAAGACGGTTTTGACGGTCAAAAAGATTTGTTTTACTTATTAATTTATTGAGTTTAAAGTTTAAACCATCATAGGGTTACTTATCATATTTGTGGCTTATCTTGAAATATTGGACTTATAAGGTGTTCAATGGACACCGGTTATTAGTTAAAGTGTACGCAAACTGGTCTAAACACTTAATCATTAAAAAAAAAAAAAAAAAAAATTCACAATAGCTAGTGCTTTATACTTTGGAAACGCCCAAAAGGCAAATATTTTTCCATTTTGGAGCACTAAATTTTATAAGTTTAATTAAAAAATTAAGCAATATAGTTTGTGGTCTCCTCAATTAGAAAATATTAAATTATTTAATTGAAGTATAATATGAATTGTTAGACTTGTAGGAGTAATAGATACCAATTATAGTTAAAGTACATACAAACTATTTAGAACACCTGATATTAAAAGAAAAAAAAATTACGACAGCTAGAGCTTTACACTTTGGAAGCGCACAAAAGGCAGATATTTTTCCATTTTAGAGCACTAAATTTTATAAGTTTAATTAAAAAAAATGAAGCAATATAGTTTGTGGCCTCCTCAACTAGAAAATATTAAATTATTTAATTGAAGTACAGTATTAGTTATTAGATTGATATATTTGAATGTATTTATAATGTATATGCTAACGTCTAAAGATGTTTTCAAATTTTGAACCAAATTTAAATAATAGTTAATATTTTATGTATCTTAAGAGTTACCATTTTCAAATAAATAATTAAATATATTTTTAATAAACAATAATTAATTAACACAATATTACACATACAACCAAACGTGACAAAATATAATTAGTTGATTAAAAATAAACTTTCACCTAATCATCTTTTGTCACATTAGATTGTATGAAAAATATTATATGTGTACTGTTACTCAATTAATTAAGCTAGTACAAATGTTGTGTGTGACTAATATATTTCCTTCTTCCTTCAAGATGATGATTTGCACAAAAAGGTTTATATTATTTCTTCAATAATCATTATCAATATCACACTATCACTCACAAAAAATTGCCAAACCAATTTTCGTGTACATAATCTTTGCAAATTTCTATACAACTTTCAATCATTGCAATAAGGACCCTCACCATGAATTTCATTAAGTTAAATGAAATATATAAATTTAATATTTAAAAAATCCCATCACTTCGAACGAACCTGAACTCAAAGTGAGAAACTTCATCGAATTCTATATATTCTTTGAAAAGTGCGAAGCTAAGCTGCAAGACTTTTGGTCCACAACCACATATTTATGAAAAACCCCTTTAGGGTCTGTTTGGTTTAATATTTTTCCCTATTCTATTAATACTATTTTCAAAATATAGGTTTGTTTCCCTATTCTGAAAATACTATTATATTTTATTCAACTATTTTAAATCCCCTAAATTTATTAATTTAACTAAACATCCTCAAAAAAAGTTTAAAAATTGACAAAAACACCCCCACCCACTCACATTTGCCAGATTTCGACCACCACCTCCAGCAGGTGGCCAGAATATGGTATAATGGTGCACTATTGGCTGGATCTGACCGATAGTGTGTCGATCTATCATTTATTAGCTAGATCTATAACCAAAGATTTGGCCGTTGACGGCTAGATCTTTGGCCATAGGTGGTCTTCAACGACGGTCAAAGATATGATCGTTGTTGAAGACCACCTACGGCCAAAGATATGGCCGTCGTTGAAGACCAACTACGACAAAAGATTTGGTCGTCCGTTGAGGCCAGATTTGCCCGTGGATCTGGCCATTTTGACTAGATCCATGATGAATCTAGCTGGAAAAGGCCATCTTAGAGCACGACTGGCTAGATCCAACTGGTCGTGTGCCGATATGGTGACTCTGACCACCCTCCGACGGTGGTGGCCGGTTGTTGGTATTTAATGAGTGGGTGGGGGTGTTTTTTGTAATTTTTAATGTTTTTATTACAGAAGTGTTTAGTAAATTGTCGAACCTAAGGGCATGTTTTTGTTAATTTTTAAATCTTACTTCGTTATTCCCAGCCAACTCTAAAAATATCAAAAATACTATCTCAAATACTACAATAAATGCACCCTACAAAAAAATTCGTATAATTATATTTAAAAAATGAGCGTGTTTTATATTAAGCGATTCCAAGCAGGCGAGTAAAATAAACTTTTTAATTTAATTGAACAAATACTTGAATATGAAAAATTTGAACAGCATTAGCTTTTTAGTGGCTAGTCGGCTTCCCTGCAAGGTTTGGCCCATTACAGAACTCACAAGGCCCAAGGACATTGTAAGGGCAAAACTGTCAAAGTGCGGACAAAATTCAAGTACTCCAAAATTTGGAGTTGGGTCTTGGGTGGGGAACTGGGAACTACTTAATCCTCACCTCAGTCAAGCATTAAACATCATCACAAAATTGCGCCAAAACAATGGCGCTCCATCTCAGCCGTCCATTTCCAGCTTTTCTGAATTTGAATCTGTTCTGAACCAAATCACCACCTTCCACCAAGCTGAAGATTTCCTGTTTCACTCCTCACTACTCGAACAAGGTTAGCGACTCGGTTAATTTCTCAACTCTTTAAACTTAATTTAATTTTAGCTTTAATTTTTAGTTTGTTCTGACGAGCGAGGATTCAATGTAAGCGGGAGTACATGAGCGTGATGATAGTCCCAACGGGAGTGGGAGCTGCCATTGGTGGATGTGCCGGCGATGCTTTGCTTGTAGCTCGCGTTTTATCCTCCGTCGTTGATTGCCTCATCCTAGCGTAAGATAAACCTATTTATCTCTGGCCGAACGACTTACGTATACCCAAGATTTGCCGAAACAACAAGTTGGTACCCAAAAGGTTTTGAAACGACAAACAGGTACTTTCCGTCATGTGCTGTTAGTGATTTCTGTTTGTTCATAGTGAAAAGACTAAAATGCCCTTGAAAATTTGATTTTTAGTTCTTTATAAATTTATAAATTTCTAAAAAACCCCCTAGGTTTGCTAATTTAACTAAACACCCCCATATATAAAAAGTTTGTTAAATGACAAAAACACCCCCACCACCCGCAGTGCCAGATACCGGCCACCACCATCAAAAACTGGTCGGGAAATTACGTTACAAGACAAACCTGTCGGATCTGTGTTGTAACGTGTCGATCTAGCCGTCGAGGCAGCAGATGGAGTTTTGCGGCCTCGATGGCCAGATCTGGCATTTTCCGGCTAGATTCATGGCTGATCTGACCGGAAAAGGCCAGATCTACGGCTAGATCTAGCCATCGTGGCCGCAAAACTTCATCTGCTCATTGACGACCAGATCTGGCCATAGATCTGGCCTTTTCCAGCCAAATAAGCCACGGATCTGGCTGGAAAAGGCCAGATCGACGCGTTACGACACATATTCGATGGGGTTTGTGTCGTAACATAATTTTCAGCTAGATTCTGGCGATGGTGGCCGGAATCTGATACTGCAGGTGGTGGGGGTGTTTTTGTCATTTAACAAACTTTTTATATATGGGGGTGTTTAGTTAAATTAGCAAACCTAGGGGGTTTTTTAGAAATTTATAAAAAACTAAAATATCAAACTTTCAAAGGCATTTTAGTCTTTTCACTGTTAACAAATAGAAATCACTAACAGCACATGACGGAAGGTACCTGTTTGTCGTTTCAAAACCTTTTGGGTACCAACATGTCATTATGGAAAACCTTGGGTATGCTCAAGTCGTTTGGCCTTTATCTCTTTCATCTTTTAAAGTTGTGCTAAGGGTGTTTTAGTCATTTCAGCCACTGTGCTGTTGTTTACACTTTTAGAACTTCGCTTGTATTTGCTTTTTAAAATTGTGTTTAGCGGTAATAACTAATGGTTTAGGATACTGTATATTAATTTTGACTTAAAATTTTAATTTTATTTTATTGGATAAGTTCCAGTATTTCATTTTAACTTGTTTGGATAAGTCCACCCATGATGAAGGGGCGTGAGAAGTGGAAACTGCCAAAGGCAGTTTCTCACGAACCGCTCCCATATAAAAAGAAAGTTTTTTCTTTTCAGAATAGGTTACTCACTGTTACTCAAACATACGCAAAAGAAAAAAAACACGCGCTCTCTCTCTAAAATTGGAAAAGAGAAATACTCGTGGTTTTCTTCCAGATTCAATTTATTGCTTCAGAGATAAGGAGAAGAGGTATTTATGCTGTGTAAATTCATTGTAGTTCGTTTATATATAAATGTGATTGCAATGGGTGACTATGATCTTGGGATTACTTTAAGATATATGTTATTCTGTGTTATTTCCAACATTGGTATCAGAGCTGTGGTTCATATTGTTTTAAATTCACACTGTTATGTTAAAGCATGTTATTGGTTTATCAAATGCAGTTATGAATTTTTCAAATTTTGTACGTAAAAAGTTGTCTCATTGGTAATTCCTTATAAAATTATGAAGAAAATGGTTTTTGAATCATAAAAAATGGAGTTAAAATGACTTAGATATACCTTTTTAAAGTTTCAGGTTTCGTATGGGTTGATTTCCGGGTCGGGTACCCAGTTGCTGACTCGGACATAGGTTGAAGATGACAAGGACCGACTTGTCGTTTTGGATCCAACCTTATGAATGACATGTCGTTTTCCTGTTTTACTTCTTTTTTAAAAAAAAAATGCAAACAAGCGTGGTTGGTGAGACTTGTTGAAGCCCAATTCCCTAACCACTGGGCTATTTTGTTTTGTGTTAACTATACTCACAAACCCAATATATTCCTTTCCGGCCCAACCCATAACCAAAATATAAATGGGTCAAGTTGACCCGACCCATATGACCAAACGGGTTAGTCAAAC